TACACAATACACAAGTGTGGTGAAGTAACATGCAACACAATTAGCAGCCAGGCTAAATGATCCTCTGGCTAAACTGTCAACTACCAACACCTACCCTTTTGTCGATTCTTTAAACCGTCATAAGAATGCTTGAGACTGGCATAAGATCATTCTCAGCAGCACCAGCATTCTTAAGCCGTTCTTAGCATTCTTAGCGTTCTCAGGAACGTTCTTTAGCACGCTTCCATTTTGGTAGGGGGACACAGTGATGCTAAATGGAATGTCTTCACAATATACGGCTAAAGTAATTTAGCCAAACAATTTAGTGGCTCCTGTATTTCAATTTCGATTTGTGTGTACGGTCATCGTACCTATCTATGAGTAATTTTTAGCATTACTCATACTACATTCTCATCTTAGATATCTCAGTATTAATTTCATTTTGGCTCATGCCAGGTTACCGACATCGGTTACCGATTACTGGGGACGGTTAACGGATAACGGTTCGCCCGGTAATCCTACCGACCGGTTACCGATCTCGTTAACTGGACCCGTTAGGTCGGAACCGGGCCGGAACCGGCCTGGAGTATGCCATAGGGATGATGCTATATAATACATATGGCGGCCGCAGCAGAGTAACTTTGAAATATATAATTATTATTGCCAGCCACCCAGGCAAAAGAATCCAGATAGTAGTGGTAGTAGTAGTAGTAGTAGTAGTAGTAGTAGTTGTACCTATACCTATACCTCTTTTTTGTCATCTTCACAGAGCAGGGTATGCATGCATGTATGTATGAACTAGGTGATGATAACAACCTCATCTATTATCAAGCGGAGACCATGCACAGGGCTGCTCAGAGATGTGCACACGTACATATGTATATATATGTGGTGCAGACACGTATGCTGTATCTTATATACGTTGATGACGGCACACGTGCACACTCTGTTGTACACAAGGATATTATATACCTAGAGAACATACATATATGGAGGGAGGGACAGGCACAGGGAGACGATGGCGATGGGGACAGCAGATACAGATACAGACGGCGAGACTGAGCGGATGACTGTCGAGGGAGACTGTGGGAGAGTTTTTATTAAATACTTAGACTGTGGGTGTGTGTATGTATGTATGTATGTATGTATGTATGTATGTATATCCGCGCACTGCACTTGCGATGTATGTTGTTGGTCTGTCTGTTGGGTTGTTGTACATGTCGTACTGTACGTGATACTACTTTATTAGTAGTAGTACACATACGCAGCATATGATGGCTCCGCGGGTATGTGGATATTATGGGACACGCGCATGCACGACGGTGTGGCGATGCACCCACGTATAGTTGTACATGTTGTTGTTGTGTATGCTCCCTTTTCCCTTCTCGTCGGACACACGATCTCTCTATATGCATATATACACCAACACAATCAAACAATGCTGCTGTATCAACTTGGCACGATTTGGCACATATGTAAAATAATAATAATAATAACCCTAACGGTATACCACCAACAACAATCTCGCCGCGTGCACAACACAATGCCGCGTGCACAACACGCCGATGATCCACCACCACTAAAACTTTGCTGTGCCGCCTCTGCTGTGCTCTGTGATGATCAGAATAAGAATATAATAATATGCGATGCGATCGCGCTCGCTGGTGGTGGTGTCTGGTCGTCAATCCTCGTCCTCGTCCTCGTCCTCCTCGTCGTCGTCGTCGTCATCGTTATAAAAATTGCCGGGAAGAGTCGCTCAAAGTTTTTACAATTAGTAGTAGTAATAAGAAAAGTAATAAGTATAAGTACGGGAGTGGAAGCGGGCACATAGCATCATCATTCATCATCATGTTGTTCTGCGGCACATGCATTATATATTTTACTTGAATACTTAGGGTCAACAATAATGAATGTAACAACAACAAAATAATAATCGGTACAACAACAACAACAACAACAACAACAACGACGACGGAAACCGCAAAAGAAGAAGCACAGCAGCCGTGCTGCTCAAGTGTGCTTTGTCGTACTATACGTCATTATTATTAGTAATAAAGTGCGCCGCCCCTACTTCTCACCGCTCGCCGACGACAAACAGACAATTGAAATGAGACCGTCACAGCGAGAGCTATCAGGACGTTTTTAAAATTTTATTTATGGAGCAGGCGCCAAGTAGAAAACAAGCCGCGAAGAAGCAGAAGCAGACATGTGTCTAATGCGCGCGAGCCACGGAACAAGACAAACACCAATCAATACACCGCAACAAAAGCACAAAGAAACAGCTTTAGCGTCCTCGAAAGGACACGCCGGCAGTAAGGGCGATTTACAAGAAAGTTGTAGGATATAGACTAACGCTGCCCGCTCCGAGTCGGCTACTCCCGGAGAGGAGTGGTGAGTGAGCCTAATAAGTGCTAAGAAGACTCAATAATTTGCAGTGCGTATGCGCAATTGGTGATCGTGGGTTCAAGTCACGGCAGATTCAACAACTGGATGCGGTCAGGGTTGTTTGGTGATGTTATATTACCAACTTGTGCAGCTCATCTTTTGGTTTATTCATAATAACAATCATTGTTGAATTGAAACAAGAAAATGTGTTTTTTAATGTATATATAATAATATATCGTTTTTTTTCTGCATGCTGCAGGAAGAAGCAGGAAAAGCAAGACGTACGTGAGGCGGCACGTGCTATTATTATAGAGTGCTGGCGGGAGGGGGAAGAGGAGGAAGAGGTTTGGGAGCAGGAGGAGGAGATTCAGGCTGAGAGGTGGAGAGCAGCCGCACTGCTGTGGAGGAGGAGCAGGAGCAGGAGATGATGCTGGATAAAGATCGAGGCGGAGGAGCAGGAGCAGGAGTAGGAGTAGGAGCAGAAAGAAGTAGACTAGCAGCAGCAAGCCCCTCCAAACCGTCGCTGCCACCACCGCCACCACCACAGCAGCAGCAGCAGCAGCAGCACATCATCTCCACCATTCATAATGCTGAAACCCTGCCCACCACCCCGCCTGCAACCATCATAACAACAATCAAGCCGCCAACACGACAGCCACCAGCAATGATGATGCCACGACGGAAGGAATACCCAAACAAGAAGGCACGCCTGCTGTTTGGTGGCGCTGCTGCTGCGGCTGCGGCGGCGGCGGCGGCTGCTGCTGCTGATGCTGCTGCTGATGCTGCGGCTGCTGCTGCTGCCGCTGCTGCTGCTGCGGCAGCGGCGGCGGTGGCGGCAGCGGCGGCGGCGGCGGCTGATGATGATGATGATGATGGTGCTGCTGCTGCTGCTGCTGCTGCTGCTGCTGCTACTACTTGTGCTACTGCAAGATGGTGGAAGAAGCAGCCACCAGCAGTTGTCAACCACAGATCCACTGCCCGAGGCCACCACTGTGACCCACAAAGAAGGTATAGATATATAGAGAGGCAGCAGGCTGTATATTATAGCTTTCTTCCTTACACACACACACACACATACATACATACATTCACACACACATACATACATTCACACATACGCTATGTTTA